GTGAGTGGTAAGTCCAAGGAACTTTATGAGTTCTTAGAACTAGTAATATAAGGTAGTGATTGTATGAGTAAGTGTGTGCATAGATGGATAGGTGAGGCAGGGTACAGTTTGCAAACCTTTATATGTCTGAATGCCAGTATTTGTACTGTAAGTACATGAAGTTGCTGTTTGGTAAATCCTGTACGATGTTGTATCTGAGGCACCATTCCACCCTGAGCTGATATAGGATTTCCCAAGCCTCCATCAATAGATGAAGCTGCAGGTTGTGGAGAAGATCGGTTCAATTGCCTAGCATATTGCATTTGCAAAGCTTCTGCACCAGTTAATGAGCTTTTTGTATGGGATGAGTTATCCATGCCCTAGTTCAAGTTCACAGATGACTGCGAGGGATGCATGGGAGGCACTGCATTACCAACCATCATTGTCTGTCTTGGAGGCGCATGGTTCTCTCTTCCGTGAGCAGGAAACTGCTGCACCAACACGTTGTTAGCATTGTTGAGTGTCGCAGCATTTGAAGTTGTGCCAAAAGGGCCAGGTGCAACTATCTGCCTAGCTTTAGAGGGGCCCAACTGTCCAGACAGATCACTCGATGAATTTCCATGGAGAGAACTCTCACTTGCAACTTGAGGAGAAGCAACCTGTTGCTTTGGCATTGAGACAGGTGATGAAGACTGTGCACCCATATTGTTTTCATTTGCCTTCTGCTATGCAAGCACCCTAGGCTGCATGAGCAGTGACAAATGTGTCATGTAGGGACAGACGGTACGTAAATAGGACACGTACGTTGGGAGTTAGGGTTGAAAATGTCATAAACTTAGTCGAAAAAAAGGGTTTGAGGGCCGAAAATGCAAAACAAGCCTCGAACCACTGTTTTTTCATAACGGGAAGCTTCCCGGTGTTAAATGTGACATGTAGGGACAAACGATACGTAAGTAGGACAAGTACGTTGGGAGTTAGAGTTGAAAATGTCATAAACTTAGTCGAAAAAAGGGGTTCGGGTGGCACCATTTTGCAAGAACTAAATGTGACGAAGGATATATCCTGTTGACCTAATCGTTTGGAAATTCGAACAATGGATTTGTAAAGTTCAGCTAAGGTTTAGGCGCAATTGTGTATTTGATAAGTTTAACTATCACCATTACAAAATGTGCAACAACAGTTGAACAATAGACAGTTCATATATATAACATGGCCTCAAGATTTGGATGATGGGAGGATAATTCCTCAGCAACAGAACAGGGAACTTAGGACTAAAGAAGCTAAGTATTGAAGATACGTATCAAAATTAGATGGTGTTATGAAAGAATAGGTAAGCATAATCTTATATAGCTCTTGTCCCCATAAGCCTATAAAGAACCCAAGGCATTACTCATTCACAAACAGAAGCATATCTACATCTATAAACCCACTAATTAGTTTCTTCTTTAAGGAAAGCGTTTCCAAAATTTCAATGATTATATCGAGAAAATTAGAATCTTTTATGAAAAAGAAGACCATATTAATTTCCATCCGTGGAGGTCACAAAAGCACTGCTTTAACGTAACTGGAAGCTTCATGGAGGTCACAAAAGCATAAGCATAGTTCATTTTATGGATACCAGACAAATTATTTGTTACATTTTTATAACAAATAATTTTTGGATGAAATGGTAAGTACATCCAAAATTTCTGTAATTTCGTAATACCTGCACAATTTACTTTCACATTTAAGTACTAAAATTTACTTAGATAGATTTAGAGATTAAAAAGCTAAAACAAGAACTCATGATGGGTCCATGTTTGGATGTCTTACATTAGTTAATAGATATTACTCTCCTTGTCTTTTAATGTTTGAAATTATTACGATATATATATGTCGTCCAGGAGTGCCTCTACACGCACTGAACTAATGATTTTTCCCCTTTTTTGCAGATGTTTTTGGACATACAAATGTGGATATGTTTTTGTTGACAAGTACGGGAGGACATTGTTTTTATATCTCTATCCGTATATATAGTAGTTTGTACAAAATATTTTTTTGGTAGAGTAAATATCAGCTAATTTGGTAGAAATTAACATAGCACGTGGTACAAAATAGTTTTGTAGCAGTACAAAATATAATTTTGTTGTGGTACAAAAGTTCTAGGTGTACAATTAATTTGGTTATTCCAGTATTATGTATGGAATTAAATTCTTGACGTGGGATTAGACATGGTTCTTATTCAATTTGTAATACATATATATATATATATATATATATATAAGTGGATGTTCAATATTAATTTTTTGGATGGTTGGAACTGAAATGTGTGCACGTTGTTGAATGCTTGATAACATATTTACCGTTGATGGATTATATTGTTTATACATGGTACATGTTGTATTAATAATGGATACAGGTGGTTTAGAAAATTTTATTTTTTAAAAAAAAAACATGTTAAAGTATTTGGCCACCAAATATTTTGGTAGCTAAATATGTAATAGTTATTCTCAAATTATTTGGCCACCAAATATTTTGGTCTATAATAGTTATTCTCAAATTATGGTAGCACTTTTAGGGACTAATACTTTAGTGGCGGAAACATACCTTTTGCCGACTAAACTAAGATTAGTAGCCAAATGTGTACTTTCGGCGACCAATTATTTAGTAGCTAAAAGTGATAGCTTCCCCGCCCACAACAAGTTAGTAGCTAAAAAGCCTCATTCGGCGACTAATACTTTAGTGGCGGAAACATACCTTTTGCCGACTAAACTAAGATTAGTAGCCAAATGTGTACACTTTCGGCGACCAAACAAATTTTAGTCGCCAATACTATCATCGACAGGGTAAAGGCGACGAGCTTAGCGACAAAAAATTTTGGTCGCTAAATCGTTTCGGCGACTAAATAAGTGACTTTTGGCGACCAATATTTTGGTAGCCAAAAGTGACATTTCTTGTAGTGATAGTCACCGGCGAACGACCACCACCATCGATTGTGGTTTATTGGCAACAACCAACCACTGACTCCTTGCTTTACCCTTATCGACAGTGAAGAAGATATGTTTCCAATGAAAAAGATGAATAGATCTACTCAAATCTAATATATATATATATACTTAGATCTACATCAGATACGACTGGATCTAAACAAAAATAGTTATCGAAGTACAATCTTCTTTTTATATCTATCTCTCTCCTTCGATCTCTCAATTTTTTTTATATTTTCTCTGCTATACACTTATTTTTTCTTGTTTTAATGTAGAAAATTTTCATGTTCTGAACAAGTTTTTTTTGAGTTTTTAGTTACTGGTGGTGAAAACTGTAAAATTTTGCAGTTTTAATTTTTTTGTGCCAAAATGAATCTTGATTTAAAACTACAAAATTTTGCAGTTTCATAACATGCTTTTCAATTTGATTAATAAGGATAAATGCTTAATAGATTTTTACTTTAAAACTGTAACATTTTACATCAAAGCTTTCTTTTTAGTTTGATCAATATTGGAGATTATTTGACCATATAAAAATTGAAAAATAACATATGTTTTTTTTCCCATTGATGCTGTTTTTTGTTGTTACGTGCTTCTTTTCTTTTCTTTTTTTCTTTTCTTTCTTTCAGTTTATCAATATCTAGCACATTGTACTATGTTTTTTCGTTCTAATATCTCTATTTATTCTTTTTTTTTGGCAATATTATTCTGGATATTACAATAAGTCTTCGACGATATTCTTAACGTCTAGCGAATGTTCTGAACATTCCGACGACTTCCAATGACGTTCAAAACACTTCAGCGAACTTTCGGCGACTTCCCGGTGATGTTGAATATTCCGGCGAGTTTTCAGTGACCATCTGATGGAAGTCCGATGGTGGCGGGAAGAAGCAACGCCTATAAATTAAAAAAAAAAATAGAACTTTTTGATAACAATTAAAATATGTGAGACTAATTGGTACACGCATTTTATTTTGAGATTAGATGGGTTTTAAATTTTGTGTATGGGACTTGCCGGTAACTTCCCCTATTTTAATTTGTCCTTGCCCTTGTTTCATATTTCATTATTTGTTCATCCTCTGAAAGCATAGATTTTAAAATGAGTTCATCCTCTGAAAGCATAGATATTCATATTCATTATTTGTTCATCCTTTTAAAATGACATTATTTAAAATGAGTTTATGAAATTTGATAATGTTTACTGAAACAAATAATTATCTTATTTATAGATTGATTGGTCTTGAGTTAATTTTACATGTTTCAATTACGTATAAGAGCATAGATTTTCAATTATGAAATTTGTCAAGACTTCATGAAAGATAATTTTTTAATAAGTTAATTGATTATATTTATTGAGAAATATATATATATATATATATATTTGAAATTTTGATATTAGACCTATTATGAATGTTTTTTATATTATAAAAAAAAAATGTCTAGCGTAACATTTTCAGATGAATAACTTTAGTGGAGGGGAACATATAGCAATATTACAAATTCTATATTTTGTAAGCGAATTTAAGGTTTATTGTACTTGACGCTTTGGCAAGTTTCAAACCATGGTTATATCGCATTAGATTAATGAATTATGGCTATTTTTTATTTATAAAATTAATAGTGAATGTGTTAATAATCTTACCGAATTAGTATGGTATTTACTATCCGATTAGATTAGTAACATTAATTATCCCTTTGTCCATTATTTGATTTGCATTGAATAAGAAAATATATGAATGTAGAATTATAACTATATTTTTTTTATCTTTTTCTTACCATCCATCAATGTTTCTTCACAATCTTTACTTTATCAAAATTTCTTTATAAACGTGATTTTGAAAAAAATTATAAATACACAAATAAAAGCAAAATAAAAATACAAAATACAAATGCCATGTTTGGTTTGTTTTTAATTTTTTTTTAAAAATATAAACTAATTTGATAAAATAAATATCAAAAAATATTTTAAAATTTTTAAAAATTATTTTTAGCCTTCTAAAATATAAAATTATATAAAAATAATAATTGTTTTGATTTTTAGTCAAGGGTAAAAGAGTCTTTTTATTTTATTTCCAAGCTCAAGTTATATAATTCCAACCCTATCCCATTATTAATAATCTTACAAATTTGTTAGATTAATTATCCACTAAATTAACAATCTTGAAACAAAATTTCAAAACAAATACAAAATTATTTAGTCTACGGATTAATAATTCAAATCTCACACTCTAATCATGTCAACCAAACATGTCCTATAGGTATAGTACAAACATATGCATGTGAGGGATTCAAGTGACTGGGGTCATCATCTTGTGAAATTCATAGAAATCAAGCATTCCATTGCCATCAAGATCAAACACTCTTATCATAGCCTTACACTCTTCTTTCGATTTCGCTTCACCTAGACGATTAAGAACTTGCTGCAACCCTTCTGGTTTGATGCACCCACTACCTTTCTCAACCTCGAACATCTCAAAAGCCCTCTTAAGATCATCGTCACCCTCGCTGTCTCTTTGCATCAAATGAACAAACTCTCCAAATTCTAGTAAATTATCGCCATCTTTATCAAACTCGGTTATCACTCTTTGAGCCTCATCGTGCGACATGGACTCGCCTATATACTCAAAGTAAGCTATGAGCTCCTCACTAGAAATTTTTCCATTGCCGTCGCTGTCAAAGTAATGAAAAACTTGTCGAAATTCGTCTTTTGTGGTGGTTTTTGGTGTAGGGAGAGAGGATGGGCTTGTAGTTTTGGATTTGGAACGAAGGAGAAGGAGGGTGGTGATTAGCTTGAGAGTCTTTTTTGATAGCCATTTGGCTGACTTGGCAAAGCTAGCAATTGCCATTGAAGGATTAGTTTGTGCGAGAAACAAAAGGGTATGAAAGCAAATTATATATAGAAGAATTTCATCCCATAAATAATTATTAAAAAAAAAAAATGAAACTAGGTGGAAGAAATTTAATGGTTTAGATTTGTATAGTGATTTTAAACGAACATGCAACAAGTGGAGTATAAAGGCAAAGTGAAGGTTGCAAAGAAATTGCGTAAAAGATGTGAGGAACCGTTTGTGAAGGTGCAAAGCAACTTCTTTGGGTTACTTGAATGAGGTTGAGATTGACTTCCTCTAAAATACATTTACTTGAGAAAGTTATCCGAAATGCTTGACTTACTTTTGTAAAAGTATATTCTTACCTTCATTATCACAATCATGTAATAATGATATTTAAAAGTATATTTTAATATACACACAAAAAAAAAACACTTATACACAATTTCATACAAAATATTATGTCTCATTTATATTCATTTATTAAAATTTATAAAATTCTTCAATATGGTTCATAATCGTATTAGTGTCTTAAGTATAAAATTTTTGTATGTTTAGCATTTTATTAAATAATAAAATAATTAAACAATTTTGATGAATTTTTTGGTTGTTTTAAAGTAATAAAGTCAACATTTTTTATATTATATTTTATATTTTATATTTGTATAATTTTATTTTTTGCATAACATTACTATCTGCTTTGTTTTTTTTATCCTACTTCCTTTTTGTTTGAAGGTGAATTTTCCATGAAGGGACTTGGAAGGTTGTTGCACATTGGTAACCTTTTCCTTACAACTTGGTGACCTTTTCCTTTTTTAGTTTCAGTTTTTGTCCGAGAAGTTATTAGCACTACAAGAAAAAAATACTTTTGGCACCACTTTTTTTGAGTTGGTGGTAGATAGTTGACTTTCTGCTAACATTTTTTTGGTCGCTGATGAATTGTGTTTTTGCGACCAACGACATTTTGGTAGCTAATAGGTAGTTTTTTGCGACAAAAAAAAAAAAAATTGGTCGCAGAAAGTAGTGGCAGGACAGGAGGAAAAAAAAAAGAAAAAAAAAAGAAGCGAGATCTCAAAACCTTTGGTGACCAATAAATTGTGGTCACAGAAAGGAAAATGTCATATTTTGTATCAAAACTACGTAGTTTTGAATGTTTCTTAATATTAATTAAATTTGTTACTATTTAAAATAAGAGAATTGACCAATAAATCTTATATTTTGATCTTGTAATCCATATGGTCCTATAAGTTTTCTTGTTAACCGTGTAGTCCTTGGGGCTATTTGTTTACTAATTTACCATTGGTAAAACCACTGTCAACAATTGTATATTAATTTTGGGGATAAGGGTGTGTGTTTTCTACGTCCGCTAAAAAAGCGTAGTAGTATTTAGTTGTTTAGAATGTTTGAGTTGGAAATGTGGAGGTGTGAACATACCACATGTGTATGGTGTATCTTTTTTGATGTGAGTGACATCATGTAAGGGTACACGGAACATCATGTCACTATTAGAATATAATTTTCTATACCCTCCTTCCATACCCCACTACTACAACCACAACAACGTCCATTACTCAAATGTGTGGTCCCCTAGATTCAGTATGCTGTGCACACACAATCCATCTTTACAATATTGAAAACCCACAATCAAAATAACAAATACAACAACACATCACTTACGAAACATATACAATGCTACACATACATTTCTTATTATATCCGTCATGTTATCACATTTAGAAAAAGTACATTAATGAATTATTTATTTTTTTGGAGTGTCACGTCATACCCGTCACGTTGTCACATTTGAAAAAGTATACTAATGAATTTTTAATTTTTTTAGAATGTCACCTCATACCCGTCACGTTATCACATTTAGAAAAAGTACACTAATGAGTTTTTAATTTTTCAGAGTGTCACATCATATCCGTCACGTTATCACATTTAAAAAAAGTACACTAATGAGTTTTTAATTTTTTTGGAATGTTACATCATACCCGTTACGTTGTCATATTTGGAAAAAGTACATTAATGAGTTTTTAATTGGATAAATTACCAATATGTCCTAATAGTTAGACTTAATTCCCATCAAGTCCTATTGAAAATAAGTCTTGATAAAATTGTCGTTAAAAATAATTTTTTTATCAAAATTTTTTATATACGTCACTAAAAATTAACAATTAGTGACTTTTTTTTAGTCATGATTTTTACAAATTATCGCTAAAATTTACAATTAGTGACATGTTCTTATGAAATTTTTTTCTCATAGGACCTATTAGACAATAAGTCCAGTTATTAGGACCTACACGTAAGTACTCTTTTTAAATTTTTTTGGAGTGTCACATTATACTCGTCACGTTGTCACATTTAAAAAAAAAAAGTGCACTAATGAGTTTTAATTTTTTTAGAGTGTTATATCATACCCGTCACGTTGTCACATTTGGGTCACGTTATCATATTTAGAAAAAGTACACTAATAAGTTTTTAGTTTTTTTTTTTGAGAATCACATCATACCCCCTACGTTGTTACATTTAAAAAAAATACACTAAGGAATTTTTAATTTTTTTAGAGTATTACATTATACCCACCACATTGTCAACCCTTTCATCAACAGAATATCACCTCCTCCCTCCAACTGTGTGATCACGTATTCTGAAAATAAAATAACCTTCCCAATTAACTAGTAAGGATATATCCGTCTAATTGATACCCATCTATATTTTAAAAGGGACTTCTTGGTCACAAATTACACCTAGTAATGACTTGCTAATCAAACATTTCAAACGTGGGACCAAATGGTACAAAAGTTTCCAAAATAGGACTTTCCAATAAATTTCCCTTTAAAATAACTATTAATAATCAGTTCAAAACAAAAATTATTAATAATTAAATAATAAATTATTAAGAACATAATAGTAATTTTTTTTAATAGAATTATTATTTATTGATTAAAATCATAAAATTTTTAAATTTATTTTTTCGTTCAAAACATTAATTAAACTTTAATAAAGGTAAAATTACAAATATAAATAATAAAACTTAAAAAAGTATAAATTAAAACCAAATTTTACTATAAAATTTTGTACCAAATTCAAATTTCTTCTCAATATTTGAAACAAAGCCTCTAAAATTTTGCCTAAATAAATTAAAATTTCCTCCTAAGTTTCTACTCCTTGGTCCCAAAAAAAAAAAAGAAAATAAAAAAAAAAGAAAAAGAACAAATAGAGAAAAACTAGTTGGAGGAGATGTGTTCGAGAGAGAGATTGAGAGAGAAGACAAAGAAGCGATAGAGATAGAGGGAAAAGCAATCCTTCGGAGCAACAGCCATTGCTTTGCTCATGACAGCCATTGCGTCGTTGGAGCAGTCCTTCGGAGTTACCTCATTCGTAGCCCCGTTCATCTTCGCTTCTCCCTTCGGTCAACGAAGACTTCGAACGAATCAAACGGAGCAGTCTCACTTCTCCCTCCGGCTAGAGCTCTCGCACTTCTCCCTCCCACCGCCCAATTTCAGGTGCATGTTCAGATACTAGGTGTGGAAAAGTGGTTTGGAAATACTCACTGGATCTTGTAGGACGCTCTTGATCCTCAGCTAGTCACCTGAAAAGGAATGAACACTCCGGTCGGGGGTGCCGGAATTAGCACTCCAACGGATAAGTCAGTTTATACTTTCTTGGTAGCTTGTATCTTAACTTAATCTTACTTGTTCTCCATACCTTTCTTTGGATGATACTCCTCTATTTATATTTTTCTTTTGGGCCTCAGAGTCGGGCCCACCCTCAATCCATTGCATGTTTATTTATTCGGCTTTTGTTCAACTGGTTCTTAGGCCGATTAGTCTATTTGGCCTTGTGATCGTCCAGGATGGAGCCGAATAAAAATTCCGTCCTTGAATGTCCTCATACCGTCATTCGTCTTTAATGCACGTATACCAACAATATCCGGCTCCCACAATTGCCCCCCAAACATCCTATTAATGCCAGTTATTCGGCATGTTTTGTTTCAAACGGCGTGTTTGGTTTAGAACTTGAAAAGACAAGGAAAGAACAGTAGTTAACCCCATTCCAACGCATGTTAGAACACACGCTTTTTAGGCATCACTACATCTTTCCGCCTCTTCATACGCTTTCTTCATTTAATGTGTTTTGAAACTATGTTGTCCCTTCGAATGTAAGTTTTTTTGAAAACTCAAAGCTTATGGTTTGCTTTTCGATATACCTCCACTTCACAACCTCTGCAACTTCCTCCTGTCTCTCATTGTCTCTTTTGCTTCTTGTAAGTTTTCTTCTCCTTCATTTCGAATCCCACTTCCTTGTTTATTTTTAGTTTTGCACAGTCCTTAGGCTAGCTAGAATGGCAAAACACTTGAAAGAACTCCTTTCAGCAGATCTAATTTTTGGTTCCGTCGCCATTATTCCATCCCCGACGACGTCCATCTGTCACTCGTGACAGATAGAACCATTGATATGGAGAGGACTGATGAAAGTACAATCATATTTCCTCTCCTATCAATTGCTGAGGGCAGAGTCCATTTTCCCCTTCACCCATTTTTAAGGGCTGTCCTTCGCCACTTGGGTTTAATCCCTTTTCAACCTAATGTAAATTTTTTCTGAATCATAATGGGGATTATAGAATTGAACCGACGCCTTAGGATTAACCTTGGTAGACCTGCAATTCGGCATTGTTATGCCTTAGCCAAATCTTCTGGCCGGCAGGGACGCTATTTTCTCAGGGCTAAGGATATCGACCATCACTTAGTGACTATGATTGCCAGTTCTGGCAAGCGTGTTGACGATGTAATGGTCGTTGTCCGAGGCAACTGGGAATTCGGCGAGGGTGAAGATCGCCTGGATCTCGTGCCAAGATGAAGAGGCGAACCAGGTGGCCGTATAGCTCCTTATTTTTTATTGCTATATATTTATTTGGCTTTTATTCTATGTACTAACCGTTTTATTTGTGCAGGCAACGATTTGATGAGAGTTTTGGTTTCAGTTGACGACAACGTTCTTGCGGAAATTAAAATCGCACTTCAATTCTTTGGCCGTCCAAGCCTTCAGAGACAAGGAAGGGCGGCCCACATCCTTC